GCATTCTGAACGCGAGAGAGAAGCCAAGAGCGAACAGCAAGCGTCGTCGAAGGTTACAGCGGCGTGCGTGCCGATTGTGTCGAGCGGCCCCGCGGCGCGTAACCTATCGCGGGATATATATTTCCGTTTCTAGGAGATAACGGTGTGGACAGATTAAAAGAAAAAGCGGTTGAAATCGCGTAGAGAGGTGGACGAGCCGTGACGAAGCGGCCAGGAAGATTTTTTGACCTGTTGGGTAAACCAAGTTGGCCGTGTTAGAAACGGGCAGAAAGGGAGTAAAGGGAGCCTCAATCGCAGCTGCGCATCCTTCTTGGTCGTTCTCCAGGCGGTCGTGTCTGGTGGCCCCCGAGTTGGAGACGCGCCTCCTCGCCTCCGCTTATTTCCCTCCTGTGCCAGCTGTGCGGATCGCCCGCACACAGCCTGCCCTCCTAACACCGGCGACACCGTCCACATCCACGTTCACGCAAACGAAGACGAATACGAAGACGAAGACGGATTCTAATATTGGACGAAGAAGGGAGGAACGTCTCCGTTCTAGCCGACTAACGGAGAAAGAAGCGAAAACGTGCTCTAGTAGCCGCGACGTCGAGAGAAAAAGAGAGAGAGAGAGAGAGAGAGAGAGAGAGAGAGAGAGAGAGAGAGAGAGAGAGAGAGAGAGAGAGAGAGAGACGAGCGACTGCGTATCTTCGCGAAGAGAAAAGAGCGCGACATGCTATCTCTCTTTCTCTCTCTCCTGTTCTGTTCCTCTTCTTCGCGTTGAAAGAGAATAGTCGGTGGGACAACGAGGGAGAGAGAGAAAGGCTACCCTCGATCGTTTGATGGTGGGGTCAGGTTGCCACGGTGGCATCGGAGGGGAGAGCGAGCCCACCGGAAATCGGTCTGTCCTTATTTGAGAGGCCACGTGAACCACGCCGTGGTCTGGGCTTTCCTCCGTGCCTACTGCCTGTGTGTTTGCTTGCTTCTCCTCGTTTCGATGGCTTCTCTTCTCTTCTTTTCTCTTTGGTTCCACGCGGTCGGAAGACCGAACGTCGACCACTGGCCATCAGAGAGACAAAAAACTCTCTAGAGGAGAAGAGACGCTTCTGTCTAGAGGCGTCTGGTACCACAGAGGAGGACACGGTAGCGTAGGTTTCCCCGCGTCGCAGAAGCGTTCCGAGAAAATCGTTGAGCCGGGGACAGCAACGACCAACCCCGGCTCTGGCGCAGAGAAACAGCGGCTGAGAAACGTGGGGGAGATGTATACCTCGAGCGTCGCTCCTCGCTGGTTATACGATATCGCAAAAGGGGGAAAGATCCTCGTTGAGAACCGATGCTGGGAAGCTGTTGCGTTGCAGGAGAACGTTTGTCTCTTGGAACTGGAGCGTTCTACTCCCGTACTCGTCGTTTACCTCGTCGAAGACCTCCTCTTGTTGATGACAATACGGGAGATTATTTTTACTACGCGCTAAAGATAACAACCGATTCGTCAGATAACTCTGACTCTGTCAGAGCGACTGCCTGGTCATCCATTAGTCGATGGATTCGAAAATTCGAAATTATTCCAAATTAAATCCTGCTATGTTGAAGTTAACGGCGACAGGAAAGAGCAAGTCGCATCAGCGAACTAGGAAGAAGAAATCGTATCCACGCAGAAGTAGGAGTATCCCCATAAGTAATGTCATTTTTCGATATTGTGCAAAATTTTATTTTATTAAACATTTTTATTTAAAATTTTATTTAAGAGTTAAGACAGTTTTAATCTACGATATATAATTTAACAGTAAGCACGCTAAATGTCGATATATTTAACTAGAATATAGGTTAGAATAAGCTAAATTATTGTCACTAGATGGCAATGTTTATTAAATTTGAAGAAAGAACTGAAATAAGGTTTATTATATTTGACGAAAGAACTGGAATATAGGTTATGTTATAACAAGCAAAATTATTGTCACTAGATGACAATGTTAATTAAATTTGAAGAAAGAACTGGAATATAGGCTGAATTATTGTCACTAGACGGCAATGTTTATTAAATTTGACGAAAGAACTGGAATATAGGTTATGTTATAACAAGTTAAATTATTATCACTAGATGACAGTGTTTATTAAATTTGAAGAAAGAACTGGAATATAGGCTAAATTATTGTCACTAGATGACAATGTTTGTTAAATTTGACGAAAGAACTGGAATATAGGTTATGTTATAACAAGTTAAATTATTATCACTAGATGACAGTGTTTATTAAATTTGAAGAAAGAACTAGAATATAGGCTAAATTATTGTCACTAGATGACAATGTTTATTAAATTTGAAGAAAACGAACATCACTTATGGGTACTCCTAACAGCAATATAACTGGAAATCACTAATACTCGAAAGAGAATTTATCTGGTACGCGTGCCTTCACTATCAAACCAAAATGGCCGACGCGGCGAATCGAGTGTGTGCCGCTGAAATAGATTGTTAATTTGTTTCTCTCGTGCTTGAATATCCTCTTTAGACCAGTTCCTTATCACCGATAATATACATAAAATCTAGATTCCGAGTACGCTAGCGTACAACTTCGAAAGCCTCTCTCAGCTGTTTCATTAATCGATTGCCGATCAAATTAGCTTTTATCTCGACCAACTGGGAAAATTATTGCAACATCGTGAAGTCGTCAGCGCCAACTTCGATTACTTGACATTTTTTTTTTTTTTTTTTGACTCTGACCTCTTGCGCTGGAATGACGTGCCACGCACGTCGAGAATTTTTTTATCCCAAAATTGCAATATTCTCTCGGCATCATCTCAATATATATATTTGTGTATAATCCAGGCAAATAATAAATTTATTACTTGTCAGTAATTTCTATCCAGTGATATCATACCGACGAGCTCAGAAAGAAAGCGACGAATTGTTGTGTACGGTTTGGTCACTCGTTACGGTCCGCAGTCAGTTGCCAGCGCAAGCGGTTAACATTTTCGTCCGTGATCAAGCTTCATGCTCTTCTTTACATGAATTAGCGGATAAATTTTTAACAAACATCGTTGTCGTACGAGAATATCACAAATAGTATTTCTTCTCGTTACGACTGTCACATTTCTCTCGTCGATTTTTTCGATCTCTAAACCGACACCGACCGCGAGACCTAATCGCAACAATATCTAAATAATATCGAAAAAGGAACGAAGCGTTGGAAATATTTAAGGTGTCGCAGAGGCGAGGGACGTCGTGTGCCAACATCCCCGGTGATACCTCGCTCAATGCCAGATCTCCTCCCCTTTTTGCTCGCTTTTCTCTCGAAGCAAGAGGCTGACCCTCCCGCGTCACGATCTTCTTGAACAAATACACCTTCCGAAACTGCCCCAGAATCGTTACTGCAACGCGCTCCGCTCATAACTTTGTTCCCCGGCCGCATTTCTTTCTTCCTTTTTTTTTTTTTTTCCTTTTTTCCTCTTCGAAACAATTACGATCGATCCGGATGATTTGAACGTCGATCTCGGGTTAGTTGATTTTCTTTCTGTCCAGACAATTAACCGAACTTATTGATCGCGCGGTGCAATACAGTTTCGGTTCGGTTGCGATCGAACGGGGTCAAGTTCTCCTTCTCCTTTGTGCCACATAAGATGCCATGAGTGCCTGATTAGCGGCAACAGGAGAGAAAATAGCGCTCTTTTCGTGCGATGCAGATGGAATTTCGAAATGTCGAAGTAACAGGCGCGTGAAACGTCGAGAAACAAGCACAGTCGTCCAGATCGTTAATTTAAAAAGGTAAATCGGCCTCTCTGAATGCGTGCGGCTCAAGTTCCACGCTTGCAAACAAATTATTCGCTCGGTCTCTTGAAATGTTTCGAAAGATCGCGTTTCGATCACTCAGATACGAATCTTGCTCCCGAACTACGAGATGGTGGCCAGTCTTGTTCGCCAACGTGCGGGCACCTCTTCTTTATTTAAACCCGAAATATCTTTAGAGGAAATTTACCAAAGAAACTGACCGTTTCGTTGACCGAACGTCAGTCGAATCGTTTTATTAGAGACTCTGTTTCGTCGGCGATTCACGTTTTTGATCCACGAAAAATGGTTTCGAACCGTGAAGCGAATGCACGGTCACGCGCTGACGTGTTCGACGGAACGATTTCACGATCGAAGAGGGTTTCCATCGCGAGTGAGCAGCTCCTTAGCTCCGGGTTTGAGCTATTTTTAGAAACTCGCTCTCCTAGAGGACGTTACGTTCCCACCATTACGTCGTCGAGGAATCCTTTCGTAACGGAGCGAAAAACGTTACGCAATTTTCCATGGTGGTTTCTCTCGTCGACGTTCAACAATTGGAACGGAACAAGGGGATGGACGAGGAGACCAGATTCGAATGGCTACAAAGGGAAATTCATGACATAATAATTCTCTGCGAAAACTCGCTGAACGACGCGACGTTGCTCGATATCGAACGATAGCCATCATCGTCGATGATGGCCATCCTCCAGCCACATTCTTTTCCTACAGTTTTCACGCGGACAAAGGCGAACGAAGGCGAAGCCTTCACATCCGAGGAGAAAAAGAAACGCGCGCGTAACCCAACGCCCCTGCGAGGACCAGGTTACGAGGAAGCGTTGCTGAACGTGGCTGAAGGAGAAGGGTCGGTGAGTCGCACATGAGAAGGGCGGCGAGCAGAGAAAGAAAGAAAGAAAGAAAGAAAGAAAGAAAGAAAGAAAGAGAGAGAGAGCGGAGGGGGGGGATATCGGTAGCGGTTGGTTATACCGGATAACAGAGGCAAGGAGGACCGCATGGTTCGAGGGGTGGCGAACCCCTGAAGGACCCTCGGTCGGTAGCGGTGACCTCCTCCCTCTTTTTCCCTGTCTCCCTGGTCCCTCTTCCTTTCCAACCCTGCCCCCTCCATGGTGCACGTCATCCCTGCCGCGACGGCACAAGGGAGCACGATCATTGGTTCACCGGTTTCACGCAGACACGAGGAGGCACACGCAGCTGCCACTGGCTGTCTCTTGTTCCACGGCCGGACCCGATCGGCCAGTCCACAGGAGAAGCAGCGCGCGTGCAGTAGTTAGCACGCTGTCTGTCACGCGTTGCAAAACGGTTCTTCGGTCTACGATTTCTGTGTGTGACTGTGTTTGTATTGGCAGTATTTTTATTTCTCATAGTGCATCGCCGATAGTCGAAGGGCTACCCAAACGGTGGATGCGAACGTTTCTATTTCTCGTTCATCGCCGGTTAGAAGAGCGGTTGCTGCCCTTGGTGCTCTCTCGTGACTACCACGAGAGTCCCCGTAGGTACCGTAGTTCGGCGATTCTCGTGCACGTTCGTCGACGATCGGTCGGGCACCGTTCAGCCACCGTCGTCCGTCGTCGTCATCCGTCGCCATTTTGACGGTCCGCCTACCAATCAACGTCACGGATCGCGCAGCGCCTGGTATCCACCGGTGGTGTCACGAAACGTTAGAAAGGTACGGGAGGCGACACCTTTCGCCGACAGCGCGCACCCGGTTCCTCGCCGCACGTGTCCTCGCGGAAAAAGACGTGCGCGACGCGTTGGTTGCTCTTTCTCTCCGATTTACGATCCCGTGTACCCTTCCTTCCGGCGCGGCCCGGTGCACGGTCGATTTGTTACGAGGTGGGCGACGTTTTGAATTTCGACTGACGGAACGCGGGTGTATGTAGAAGCAGTGTGGTGGCTCTCGCGTAAATCGTTTTTTCGGTGGTACTCTGTTCGGTACAGACTCTTCTTCCTCTACCCAATCTCCCCTCTGTTTGTTCCCCTCTCTCTCTCTCTCTCTCTCTCTCTCTTCCTGTCTCTCTCTCGCGCGCTCTTTGACTTCCAGTCCCCCTTCTCTCTCTACACACCAACAGTTCGCAGGGCGTCGCACGCAGGGCGGTACCGATGCCCTTTCGACCTCCCGCCGTCATCCAGAGTACGCAACAGTGCTTCCGTCGCGTGACCGTCTCGCTCTCGTTCCACGTCGAGATCGCGTCGTCGTTGGTGGCGGCAGCAATACGTTCGCGTTCCAAGATCTCCCGTTCGCCAGGCTGGTCGCTTTCCAACCAGACGTGCACACGTGCCATCTTCGCGTACAACGGAGGATCCAGCAAAAGCTGATCGAAACGATTTCCATTGGACTCTGACGGTTATATTCCAACTTTTGACGCGCGTGCTCTCTCTCTCTCTCTCTCTTTCTCCCCCCTAGAGAGAGAAAGATAGAAGAGGGAATCGGTGTGTCGTTCACACGTACCCACGTGCGTCTGTTTTGAACCTGTCCCCGAGTCTTCTCGCCGATGTTACTCGACACGCTCGACAAAAACGCAGTCTAGTCACGCGTTTGTTAACCAAAGTAAACGAAGTCGAAGAGTTCAAAACTCGATCGCTACGTCGTTCCGAAGAAGTGAAAGAAGAAAGAAGAAGGAAGCGTGCTTCGAAGCCAAAGAATACGAATACTGTTCTCGCGTTATGAGCAACCGCTGTTGCCCGATTGGGAATTGCGACACCGCGAGGATGAATATCGTACGACTATAATATAGAACGTCATCGAGGATGTCGTAGGGCTGTGACGTTATCGCAGTCGTCGCGTGTCATTCGACCGGTTACGTGTGTGAAGGAAAGAGAGCGAGAAGAGATTGCATTTCGAGTGTGTGTGCATACAAAGTTGGTGACAGACGCAGAAGTAGCAAGTATCGCAAGAGGTTAGGATGCCGCAGTGCGCCGTGGCAACGTGCCGTAACAGTCATCGTCAAACGCGAGGCCGTAGTATCCGCTACCATCGATTCCCCCAGATACCGGAAGTGCGCTCACGATGGGTGCGCGCGTGCGGCCGCGTGCCCCTCTCGAACGGCGAGATACCGTTCAACATACAAACCGCGCGTATATGCTCCCTCCACTTTACCAACGACTCTTACGAGAAAGATATGGAGCACCTTGTACTCGGTCTTCCCGTGCGCAGCAGATTGCGTCGCGGCGCTGTGCCGACAATCGGCGTGCCGGTGAACGTGCAACCGGTAACCAAGATGCTGGTCGAGGACGCGAAGCGTTCCCTGCTCAAGGTCACCCACGCCAAGATGCTAACCAACCAGAAAGTGATGGGGAAGAACAGCCCGATGTCGAACGATAGTAAGCAGCAGCAGCCGGCTACGGAAAGGCGGCAGCAACAGAACCACCACCACCATCATCACAACCACAATCACCATCAACACCAACAACGTGCCAAGAGTGGCAATCAAGTGAACCAGGAGCAAAAGATGGCGGGCATCGACGTACTGCTTGCCCTCGGTCTCAAACCCGCGCCACGGTGAGTCGTTTTCACTCGGTTCCAACGATTACCCCTCTTGATAAGGAGAGGGGGGGGGG